GAAGAGGGCAACCCCCTCGGTCCCCTCCTACTGTGGGAGTTTTTCTGTCCTCTCAATAAAATCCTGCTTTCTCAAAAACAAAAAACGGAATGAAGAGAAGCAAGCACTCTGTTCATTCATCACTCAGTAAGAGTCAACCACAATACTAGTTTTTTCTTCATAAGGAAAATCAAGGTAATCACTTCTGACAATGTAGAACTGGTAATAGTCTTAAATATATTGCTATGAAATGTTCACAATACTTACCCAGGTAGAAGAAGAGGTTTATCTTCTTTATGATGTTCCAAGAAAGTTAATATTTTTTTAAACTTCAAGGGCCAACTTCTAGCTTTTACATAATTTGAAACATCATAAATACTCATGAATCTAACAGAGAAAAATATACATGTGTTGTAAAAAAAAGTGAGTGCTATATCTTGGGCACTATAAAAGGGGAGGTTATACTCAGCACAAATTTAATGTGGAGCTACGAAACAGGTTCATTCTCAAGCCTCTGCATACATCTACCCATCTACCTAGGATCAGGCCACAGGAATATTCAGCATGGGGCTCCTATGTTCCTGGCACCATTCTTGACCTGGGCAGAATGTAAACAAGGCTTCCCCAGTTCTTTGTCATGCCTTGACTAGGTTTGTCATGCCTTGCCTAGCCCAAGCCTCTCCAAGACACTAAAGGCTCTACCCTTCCCAAACTTTATCCCAGGAATTGATGATAGATTTCCCAAATAGACTACCAGCCTGCTGAAATGTTAACTACCATCGAGCCAGGATCTCCTGTCATTGTTGCCCCACAGCCTTGCTTTAATGTTTGCCAGGACTATTATCAGACACTCGCTAAAAAAAACTGAGCTTTTCCCACCAATACTTAATCATGTTCATCCATACTAGCAATTGGGTCAATTCCTCCAGAGCCCACTCCACCCCAGGGAGCAATTTAATGACAGCTTCCAGGCTCCTGTACCCCCTCTATCCAATGATTCAGTGAGTATGATACAAAGGCAAAATGGTTGTAATAGTAATTGAAGTCATACAGGTTCCCTTTCATAGGTCCTCTGGTCTTTTATCTAGCTACATGCAGACAGATCTTCCTCCAGAATCTCCTAATGTCACCAAGGTTATAAAACTTAAAGGGAAAAAAATAATATAAACAAGTAAGATAGAAAGTAGATGGAGGCCGGGCTCGGTGGCTCAGCCTGTAATCCCAGCACTCTGGGAGGCCAAGGCAAGTGGACTGCCTGAGCCCGTGGGTTTGAGACCCACCTGGGCAACTTGGCGAGACCTCGACTCTACAGAAAATCAAAAATTAGCTGGATGTGGTAGCACACGCCTATAGTTCTGGCTACTTGGAAGGCTGAGGCAGAAGGATCAAGGGAGCCCAGCAGGGCGAGGCTGCGGTGGCTGGGAGCATGCCACTGCACTCCAGTCTGGGCGACAGAGTAAGACTCCAACTCCAAAAAAAAAAAAATCAAAGTAGATGGATAGATGGATGGACAAAAGGACAGGCAGATATACAAACAGAAGATAGATGAATACAGATAGATGAAATAATAAATTGATCAATCTGGATGCTTAACTTCTCAGTTTGTTCATTCTTTATCATATAACCATTCAACTTTGGAAATATCAATTGAAGAAGTGTTAGACTTACTTTCCTTGGATAGGGCAGAAGTTTTTGGTTGCACCAATTAATATCTGGGCTGCCTCTGCTTCGACGATTCCATCATTACACTGTCTTTCAAAGTTACTCTAAACATACAATTTTAAATAAAGATTACAAAAGATCCAAACATAACGATAATGCACTCTTCGTAACCCTTACATGGTTCTCACTATTATTACAGAACTCAGTATATGAAAATACGCTATTATAGCAACTTCTATAGTAAAAAATAAATTTCGCTCGATTCAAATATTTACTGAATACTAATTTTTTACAAAATACAACACTGAATGTTATGAGAGATACAAAGGGTCTTAGCTTCAAGAAAATCTAAATCTATACAACCCCAAAAATTAGTTCAGTAATATTATAAATGGTATCAGTAGCATCATCTTTCTACAGCAAAATAGAGAGTGCAAGATATTAAAATGTAACGAATACTCTCGGCTCCACAAAGAACTGTGGCAGAATGTGGCAAATGCTCAAATATATTTCTTTCATGATTGAGTGAATGAACACAGAAGCACATGAATAACTGCTTCAGGGTCAGCAGTTGGCCCCATGGCAATCACCTGGGATGACAGATTGCCTCCCACTAACCCTGTGGCAGAAAGGGGGCTGGTAGCAGTTAAAAGTATTTCCTTTTGAAAGTCAAGTGGCAAGCTTTAAAGACCCACCAGGCTGGTTTTGTTTGAAAAAGGCCAAATGGCCAGAGACTGATGGCGCTCATGGAAATGCAAAGGAAAGAGTGCCTAATTCACAACTGCTCTCCTTATCAGTTACAGCCCCTGCTCGCCCTGCATTTCCTGGAGACCATTTGTTCTTTGAAAGATCTCATTTTTCTGAACACAACCTTGTAAATTCCAAAGAAAATGTGTAATCACTTAACATGACCCCCTCCCTTACCTAAACAAAGGTACAAGACCCCTCTTCTCCTGTTCTGGGGGGCTCAACCTGGAAGAGTTATCCCATCAAGCCCGCAGGTATAATAAAGTTGCCACTTCCTATAATAGTTTTGGTGTCATGACCTATCTTCCTGCTACAGAACTATTAAAAGAGAAGGATAGACTGTAGTTTTGTGAGATTTCCCCCCAAACAGGAGAAAAGGTACACCTTTTATGTGCCACCAACATCGAACCCAGAGGTAAGCATTATCTCCTGGAAATACTGCCTGAACTTTCTTCCTTACATGCTGAGGAAGCACTTCTGCCTATTTATTGTTTGCAAACGTCTCCAGCCTCCATCACATTTAGCATATTTTCTCAGGTTTTACAATTCTAGGGATGAAAGTCACTCCAGGAAAGGAAGAAATTAACACCACGCATATATCTTGAGACGGTGGTCATTCATGCACCATCTCCTTTTCTACGAGATGGAAAATGGCCCACGAGTAACAACTTCATAAAGCAAATGCAAACTGAAACTGCCTTCCAAAGGGCACAGGGGCACGGGTCAGGCTGTTCCTGGGACACTTGGTGGATTCTGCAAGCTCCCATGATGGCTCTGGCAAGATGCCCACTTGTAAGAAAAGATATGTTCCAGAAGTTCAGCCCTGAGGCCTGCATATAGTTATTATACTTGTAGTGTCTCTGGCCCAGCCTATCAAGAAGACCTGGCTCAAGAAAATTATTATTCACTAATAATTATTATTCACTAATAATCACTAACAGAATGTTTATTTATTTATTCATCCTTTAAACAAATACTTATTAAATGCTTACTCTGTTCCAAGCTCTGTGTTAGGGCAATGGGGGCATAATCCAAGGCGTTAAAGAGCTCACAACCTAGCGGGGCAGGGGAAAGATTGATGCATATTATTGTTAAACAGTGTAGGATCTATAAGAGGATAAAAGTAAGCACAGGTATTAATCAAACTTGATGTGGAGATGGGGTCAGGGAGAAGTTCTTAAAGGCAAGATGCCTCAGTTGAGTTTTAAGGGTGAGCATGAATATCCAGTTGAAGAGTGGGGTGGAGGGAACAGGGTGAGGACAGAGGTAAGCAGAGGATGGCATCGCCAGTGCAGGCACCAGGTGAGAAGCTGAGTTCAGGGCAAGCTGTGAGCCAGAAAATCAATCAGAGAAATGGACAGAGACCAGATTTTAAAAGACCTACACTTAATCTTATAGGCAAGCTTGTCCTGCAAGATATTCCTTGAACCCCAACCAATCTCTGAAAAGATATGCAGGACAGAGAGACATGTGGAAAGAAATGCTGCACTCAACATTCCCTCTTGGAGAATCTCAGCATACATCAGTGGACTAAAAACTCTGAGAAGTTCTACAAGAAGTAGTGCCAAAACAAACTTGTTTAACTTTGTTTAAACCAGCATTTCTTAAACTTATTTGAGCATGACAGATCTTTTTTTTTTTTTTTAACGCAGTCTCTATTAACATCCCATAGAGCAAGTAAGAGTTCTTCGGAACTCACATTGAAAAATGTAGGCACTGAGAGTCATGCAGGGTTCTAAGCTCGTAGTCACCTCTGTCTTTTAATAAGTCCCTGTGATCTGAGAATGGAAATATTGGAGGAGGCAGAGGGACCGGTTGAAGGCTATTATCCAGACAAGAGATTATGGTGGCCTAAATTAAGTTACAGAGGATGGGAAGGGGTGTGTTTAACAAGTATTTCGAAGGTAAGATTGATAGAGCTTGGAGAAGGATGGAGGAAGAAGGCTGACCCCAGCAACCACGTGGTAATGACCTCATTCACTGGGATCAGAAATATTACAGTAGGCTTAGGATTGTCCAAAATAGATTGAACAGTGAAATGTTTGGGAGAAAATGTCTAGCTGTGGCTGGATTCATGAGTCTAAAGAGCTGGTGATGGGAGGTTTTGAGGATTATAGATTTGAAGAGCATCCATGGATGGTGTTAAAATCATAAGTGTAGCTGAAAATAAAGAGACTATAAAGTAAAAACAGCTGACAGAGTTAACTGTCCTGGGTGTACCAACATTAAAGGGATAAAAAGAAAAGAGAGCTAATAGAGGAGACTGAAAAGGAAAGCGGGCACAGAGGCAGGAAGAACGCCAGAGCAGAAAGTACTCTCAGGAAAGCCACTCAAAGATAACATGGAGCAAGTCACCCCAGGAAACTGCTGGTTAAAAGCAATAAACATGGTAGGTCATTATAACAATGACTCCAGTGTATCATTCCTCCCTGTATCCTTGCCCATCTGCAACAGGCAGTGATGCTTCTCCTATCAAGAGGTGGAATCTATTTCTCCACTAGTTGAGTCTGGCCTGGCTTTTGTGATTTGCTGTAACTAATGGAATGGGGATAAAAGTAACATTGTTCAGGTTGCAGAGCTGGGGTTTAAAGAGGCCTTGCAGCTTCCCCTCTCACCTTATTTAACCGAGAGCCCACCATGCTGTGGGAAGCCCTGGCCGACTACAGTTAATAGGCCATACTGAGGAGAAGTAAAGTGCCCTGAAAGACAACCAGCATCAACTGCCAACCCTGTGAGTGAGGATATCCTGGACCTCCAACCCTAGCTGAACTGTGAAAGCACTGCAGACACACAAGTAATCCAGAGGAGACCAACAACAGGGTCACCCAGGTTGTCAATGTACAAAACCATGAGAACCAATAAACCATTGTTGTTTTACGCCACTAAGTTTTGGGGTGGTTTGTTATACAGCAGAAGCTAGCCAAAACAGAAATCAGAAATAACAGAAATCTACCAATTGTAGACAGGCTGCATGAATTAAAACATGCACCTTAGCTTTGGGGCTGAGTGGCAGGCAGAGGCTGGAAGGGGGTGAGAAGACCATTAGTGGAAGCTAAAAGAGCAGTGAGAATGGCTGTAGGGGCTGAGGCTGGCAGTTGAGTTGTAAAAAGGCAGCAAAGCAGCCAGACTGTCACTTGAGGCAACTTGGAAGCTAGAAAATGAACCTAATGGATTTACGGATCTGCTAAGAAGATTTCTAGGTTTCTGATTGTCTAGAAATATTAAAGCTTTGAATTTTTACTAACTCTACATGATTATAGAAAGATGGAGACAAACCAAAGAGAAACAGTTCAGTCTTCAAGCAAAATTTAGAGAAAATGTAGAGGCCAAGATTTGCCAACTAAATCTGTTTCTTATCTGTAGTTTTTCCAACTGGCAAGTGACCTAGGAGAAAAGATCAAATCTGGGGTGCTGCCAGTAAAATTTGGCCCAGTTTCAAAATCAAATCAAGGGTGTGGCTGAAGACCACCAAACGATTTGACATAGTGCTTAGTCTACCCTCTCAACAAGACTAAAAGCCTTCTCAGACTCTTATCTGCATTGTCAGACACGCGGTCTGCCTGAAAAGAAATGATAGAGTGGAGTGGTCTATAATCAAATTCACTGAAAGTAATGTTTGACTGACGTGGTAGTTCACACCTATAATCCCAGCACTTTGGAAGGCTGAGACAGAAGGATAGCTCAAAGTCAGGAGTTCAAGATCATCCTGGGCAACATAGTGAGACCCTGCCTTTAAATTCATTTGAAAATAATTATAAAACTTTAAGAACACACACACACACACACACAATATTTTTAAGAGAATTGTACTAGATTGGACACAAAGGGACAGAGACTTTAAAATAAAAAATTTTTTTAAAAAGAGACAGTTCTAAATCAACATAAACCTCCCAACTTTCCACTAGCAGAAATCACATTGAGAGCACTCAACTGCAAGCATGGATTATTTCCTACAGAAATGGAAAGAATTGGGAAAGTTGATGCATGTGACCAGTTGGGTTTCAGAATTGTGGTAGACCAATAATTTCTCAGTGCTTTCCATTCTTCTTGAACAGAAGTGTCTGTTGATCATCATGGAATGTTAAGTGTGTGGGGGCAGATAATTTGTCTTTTTAGTTCACCGTCTCTAGATCAAGAGGAGTCATACTTAAAGAGATGCAACTAAGAAGCCTCTTACCTGGCCAATTGCAGATCATGAGATACTGGTATCTCATAGCATCATAGGATGAAGCCTTTGGGGTTTCAGAAAAGGATGAGTGTATTTTACATTCAGGAAGGGCATAAATAATTGTGATCAGTGGTACATTAAATGTGGCCATAATTTATTTGCATCTCCTACCATGGGAAGGTTGAGTAT